ACACACACACACACACACACACACACACACACACACGTCAGCATTGACACAGGAGGAGCATTCTACACTATAGCCTGGTTTATTCTTCTTTGTGCCTGATTTACACTGCTCTGGGTGTTTGCTTCCGGCCTTTTTATTTTCCTAAGCAAACTCTCTCCCTCTCCTCTCTTCATCATTTGTTTGTCTTACAGCAGGAAGTATACAGAAACAACCTACTGGATGAACTTTTATTTCTCCCTCATTGACAAACAAAAATGCCCAGATATGATGTCAGCATTATTTTCACTGATCAACACTGTACACTCCTCCTCCACATCCTGTTCTTGATCCAAACAGTTGCATGGCAATACCATCTGTCTTGAACGCATGTGTGGATAAGGGTGCAACTAAGAAATAAAGCCAATACACAGTGTGCGTTCAGGGTGTGCATCGCCCCTCTGTGCTTTTCATTTAATTCACTATCATTCAAAATTTCAGAAGTTGGTAGCAGCAAATGTTTGTTGGAGAAATGACTCAAACATATAATTTTTAATGACTATGGCTGCCAGCTCATTTCTTGTTGCTGGAATATTCAATACCTCAGTTTCAGCTCTTTATACTTGTATTTACTGAATGTTTGTGAGGCCTCAATGCAGACGCTCTCCTTACAATCTAGCACCCAAGACACGGAGTGTAATGTCTCTGGTGTTACAAAAGGACAAAAGTAGGAGATGACGAGAGACGTCGTGGTTCTTAAGTATAAATGGAAGGAAGTGTGGGAAGTGAGGTTCGACAGATGGACTGATGAGCATCGTTTACATTCAGAAAGGCCTCATCTGTTATTTTCTGTGAGACCTTAACATTACAAGTGATTGAAGCTGAGAAAATGTATTTAAATGAAAACAGGATAGTGAAAATAAGAAAATTTGTTTTCCCATGACTTTTCTTTTCACTTTTCAAATTTCACAAACAATGAATTAATGCACTATAGAAATTGCGTAAATGTAAACAGCTTATTCCTCTAGGCCACGTGCACTGTAAAAAACATGCTTGTTTCATTATCATGACAAAGATACAATGTGGAATAATAATACAGTTACCATCAACAAGAAGCACTGGATAAGCAAGTTTTATCAGCTGAAGAAATTCAGATACTAATCAAGGAAAATACAGATACTGCCAATCATAGGGGTCAAGTGCCGCTGCTGATAATCAGAAAACATATTATCAGTCTGTTCATAGACTGCAGAGCATAAACATTGAGCCGAGCACCCACTCACACCTACAGATGGTGGGCTGGTGTAATCATAGAAACCACGCGCCTTATAAATCGCCTCCAAAAAACATCATGTCACTGCTACTAAACTTTAGTTCCTCCACATCTCCAACCATGATTTTATCAAGTCTGATCTGATCATCCCTCCACTCCGCTCCCTCTGTCGTCTTCACATCCTCTCGTTATGTCTTCATGTCCCTGTGATTTTTCAGGCGGGTTTGCTTGGATTTTTCATTAAATCTTTTTTTATTTCAGTGGCTCCCTTTCAAACGTGAAACTCCTGCATGGCTGCAGACAATCACAGCATAAGCTTGTAAAGCTGTTACAACTTTTTCTTCAAGTACCAATGCAAAGCTGTCAACAAATATGACACCAACCCAGAGTTGCTATTAATATGACTTTTTCTTGGCTGTTCACAAAGCTGACAGCATACTTTGTGACTTGAAATATACAAAGGAAAATTTACAGCAACAAATCAGGATAGAACTATGACCAAAGTATCGAAATAAAGGTTTTAATGTTTCGGCCATTTTTTGTTGGATATGCTCCTTCCCTTTCCCATTAAAGCTGGTGTTGGTAATCCTGGAAAAGCAACTGATACGTCCCTTCCCATCGGCCCTCACGTCAAAGCTGTGCCCCAAAACTGCATGAACGCTCACTGCCTGACAACTATTAAGATGACTATTTATTGATGGCTATTGGGACCTGAGGAGGATTTCAACAAATAAGATAAAAAGTGTTTCAGAAACAACTTACCAAGTTAAAGTCATACAATACCGTATGTTCTTCACAAATAAGGTTTATTTTATTCCAAAGTATAGATGCTGTTTGGCACATAGTCGCCACATTTGTGAGGCTTATGTCTCCAGTCCATTATAAATCAATTACAGCGTCTGTATGCTATTAAGTTACTCTAATATCCGCATTCACCACAACTAATCGATAACTCTTTTCTTCTCCTCGCATGTGGGCTATCCTCATCTCCCCTTAATTCATCATCCCCTTTCCTTACCTTGACCGGAGGGCTTGCCAGGCGGCATCTACATCAGCATACAGGTTCTTTTCTGAGGGCTTCCCAGAACTGGCCCCGTAACCTGAGTAGTCGTACGAGAAGACGTTGCAGTTGATCCGCGAGCCAAGGCCGATGTAGAAGCTGCTCATCTGGCCCAAGTCCACTGCGTTTCCGTGGGAGAATAATAGAGTGTACTGGGCGCTGGGAGAGCAGCGGACAAACATACAGGCAATGCGATTCCCTCTCGAGGTGCGCGTCATGAAACACTCGATGGCGTCCTTCTCACGAGCCGAGTACTGCCAGTCTGCGCGCTCAGAGAGATGCAGCGTCCATCGGCCGCCGCTCTCGTCGCACATGAGGCTGTAGGTGGGCTCTGGGGGCAGGAAGGCCAGCTTGGAGGCAATCTTACTGGGGCATGGTGGACAGCAGAACAGGCAGCATAGCTCACTGATGGATAGGTGATTCATCCTCAAAAAACTGTGGCAAGAGAGGGAGAGAGGAGTTAAAACAGAACCGTCAATCTTCATTACTGAATTCAATCAAAAATTGCCTTTGAGAACTAAGAATGAGAAAAACAGATACAATCCTGTGAAACAACATCTGAGTTGCCTCAGACAACTGTAACACTAATTTGTCACTGCATCCACTGCAGACTGATCACAAGGAAAACACCAAAGAGCAAATTAGTGCCAAACAGCTTGTGGATTATGTTCCATCTCAGAATACAAACACTTGTCTTTGTTTAGCACAAAAAAGCCTGGGGTTTACAGAATCTGGGGCTAAAGCCAGGCTGCTGGTCTCTTTAAAAAAAAAAATACACCATCAAGTCTCTTCAACAGAACGCATGGTTTTCTTCACCCAGGATAATAAGAAAATATAGTCCTGACCCCAATTGAGTGTTCTCATTCTGCCTCGAGGCTCCAAAACCACTCAGACAGTATAGACTTAAAAGACCTTGTTGTCCACCCAGCACCTGGACCTAAGGCTACCGCTTAGATATTCCAGGTGCTTTTTGAAATGCAGTAGACATCACTGGAGATGTCAGGAGAGCTTGTTTTGGTGACACTGAATCTGGTTGGTCGGGAGTCCCAAGTATGTTTTAAATGTATCCCTTGTTTTTGCTTTCAAATTGGACTCGCTTTGTCTTTTCGAATAGGGTGAAACTGATCATAATGTCAGGTTATGACAATGTGTGGAGGATGATGGTACTAGAAGACAGACATTACACCCTGCTATTTCAACTTCGCAAATACATCAATTAGTCTATGTGGACATGACTGTATCCCTGTAACACAAAGCACTTTTCCTCCACTCTGTCAAGTTTAATTGGGTCCACCCCGTTTCAACTCAAGCCATAGATACTTGATTAGCCTCGGGTCTAGGCTGACCAATACATGACACCAGCAGTGACTATATTTGCATGAAAAGCAATATTCAGACTACTGACCTTATTCTGAATACGATTTTTTGGATTGTGGTGTTTACAGGAGTTACTAATAAAATCTTCCATTCAAATTCCTGTTTAAATGTATACACTCAAATCCAGAGTATGTGCCATCAAGCAGTTGGTAGCTGCTGTATGTTTATGTCTCAAAATGCTACGAAACCTAAAATACGACGGTATAATGTTATTCAGTAAAATACATTTCTTGTTATAATGCGGCTTAGCTCAGAATACTCCACAATGTATTAATTTGATTTTTGCTTATTCTGTGTATGACCTTATTCGGGTTTAGGTAAGCAGAAAATAAGCTGTTTACATGGTAGTGTGTCATTCAGATGATTGACTTAATCAGGTTAATACCAGAATATTGGTGTGCACGTAATTGTAATGCAAATTTGAAACCCTTCAGCCTGTATACATTCAACTTATTATTATGAATGTTAGGAGCTGGTATCTTGCAGTAAAATAAACCCTATCCCATGTGGCCACATATTTTCTCCAGGATAATCCTGCATAGTTTCTTTCATTTTAACCTCCTAAAGCTTTTCAAGTTGTGCTGCGCAAAAAACATCTATAAACATAATGCTGCCTCCACATCTTTAACCTGGAGATGGAAGTGTTTCTGCTGCAGGGTTTCTGCAGATTAACTAATTAAAATGAAGACTTTTAAAGACCAACGTGAAATTTACGACCTACGTCAAAAATGACAGACTCAGTATCGGAGTCCCAGATTCACTTACAATACTGGTGTGCAATGTTTGGCTTATACCAAAAACTCAAGTTTGATCTCAGACGATAAAGCCTTCTCCATATTTATTATAGTCTTCCGCATGCTTTCTGGCAAACAGATGTCACGTGAATGACTGATGAAGGACCCAGACAGTTGCTGCCTGTTCTCCCTCCTTCATTCATGGACCTCTGGCAACTTTGAAGGAGCTACAGATTTGACATAGAATCTGTGGTGACCTTCATCACCAGGATTCATCTTGCATGCTTAATTTCACACATTGCCCCGAGCAGTGTAGCTTCATGTTCATGGTGTCTGAAAGTCCCTCACCTAATTGACATTTTTTCAAACAACAACCTTGTGATGGGTTTGGTTTTGAATATGTGTCTTGATGTTGTAGTTTATCAAGGATACTGGACTACCAGCAGTTAGACCTTGCAAATACACTTTGCATTATACCTAAAACTCACCTTGATTACACACAAGGGCTTCTATGTGCCCATTCATGTGATACCTAACATGATTTATGATGAATGTATTTCTTATAATCTATGTTCTACAATATGCTGTGACATCCCATAAAACGCGTGCACACATAGTGGACCCAATTTGCTTCCCACATTCCCCCCAAATAACCCATAATCCCGCAGCTATGGAGGCAGAATGGAGCCCTGCAGCGATTTATTGTAAAATGGTGGTGGAGGCAGAAGTGACAGGGAGATTACACTGACTCCAGGCTACACGGATTTCATTGGATGGGCCAATTAACCCGCGACTCTGCAGGAGGAAGTGCGCGTGTGTTTGTCATTACCAGTGAAAGGATGACAACGTTACCTGGATGGAGGCTGGACGCTGCTTTTGTTTTCCCTCTCTGTTCTGGTGTGACAGTGTCGGTCAGCGTCGCCGTGGTCACAGGCGTTTTCTTTGCACCAGGACAACTGGATGTACCTTCTTCTCGACGCCGGGGTTGACGAGGCTGTCCTCGGCCAGACGATCCTCGGTTCCGCCGGTGTTTCTGTGTTAGTGACTGAAGTGTTGGCTCCACCACAGCTGGGAGTCGCTGTTAGCTGTTAGCGGCGGCTCCTCCTCCGGTCCAGGGCTGAAGTGTCGTTCCTCCGCTCGGCGTCCTCAACATACGGTCCTGAATGACAACGAGGCGGACTCGGGGGAAATGTTGGAGTCCGGACAAGTCAGCCGCGACATGAGTAAACACAGAAACATGGACTAGACTCAGAGTTCACATCCGCTCAGCAGCATTCCTGCCTCCGTTGTGAAAATCACTCGCTGCTTGTTGTCCTGACTCGAGGAGAGAAGGGGGCGGTGCTTGACGGCTTCAGGAACAAATGGGAAAGAGGTTCAAGAAACAAATTGACCAATGATACAGAAGCGTGGCAATGTATGGGCGTGTTTTGTTGACTCATGTGTTGATTGACGTCTACAAGAACCAATAGAAGGTTACTATTGTGGTTCACCGTCCAATCAACATCGATTGAGGAGCTCCCTCACTCCTGGTAAGTGACGTCATTGAAATGTAGCTATTTTAGTGTTCGTAAATTTGAAAGAATTGTTGGATTTTTTTTCGTAATTCTAAGATAGCAAATTTATTTTTGTCTTGATTTATTTAAATTATTTTGGTTTTAGAAAAAGTGGATGTGCGTTTTACATCAGTGACGTTTTTTTGGAGGGGAGGGACGTACTCGTACTACTTCCGGGTCAGTGTGCTCTCCGGCATGGTTGTGAGGTTGTGGGATTTGTCGAGTGAAAATAACATGTGCTACTAAAAGTGGGAGACAAGATGAGTTCTCAGAAAGGAAACGTGTCTCGTTCTCGAGGCCAGAAGCATCAAAACTCAACTGCCTACAAAAACAACAAGTACGGAGCGACCACACAAGTCAAGGTGCGTGAGCGGTGAAGAGATTTGTTGCTGAAGCGATGTGTTGCCACGACTTGTGTCATCCTGTGTCGCATCCTTTTAGTCAAAGCCATTTTTATGACTTTATCATTATAACCGTTCCAGTATTCTGTTTGTATCTGTGTCTTCATTGTAGGTGGCAAACTCAAAGATCCACGATGGCCTGTGTCAACACTGTAAAGGTGTTCTCGAATGGAAAGTCAAGTACAACAAATACAAGTCACTGACACAGCCCCGGAAATGGTGAGTGCACTTGATCATTAATCACATGACTTTATATAGAAAAGTATCTGTATCCCATCATCAAAAATCATGACTCCACACATCTGATCTGACGCCACCTCTTCATGTTGTCTTCTCTCAGTGTCAAATGCTCTCAGAAGACTGTGAAGGATGCATACCACGTCCTTTGTAAGCCCTGTTCTCTTCAGCACGAGATCTGCTGCAAGTGTGGGAAGAAGGAGGAGATTGTTGTTCCGTAAGTATTCCTGTCAAACTACAGGGAGTGTGGCAGCTATAACTGATGTTATAACAATAATAACTTTATTTGTATAGCACTTATCTAAACAAGGTTACAAAGTGCTTCACATATTCCATGGCAAAAAAGGAATACAATTAAAAGGTATTCAATTCAGTTCAATTTTAAGACCCATTTCATAACAAATTAAGGTCAAGACCTGTAGATTCTGATTCCTGGACCTTGGCCAATACCGATTCGAGACCAGTGCATTATAAAAAACAAAACCTATAATGTATGTTACCAACCCTGTATGGAAGTAGTGATTATTATCATTGTTGTGTGGCCTAGCTCAAGTTAATCCAATTGAAGAAGAAATGCATACAGGGAATGAACTCTATAGAACTTCTTTAATTATATAATTTCGCAGGCATTTCTGAAAAAAACACACATGAATACACCCAGGAAAAATGCTATCTTTTAAATATCTGTTAAAGTGCATCTCCAGTTTATAGAATAAAAGATCTTACACGTTTAAAACAGCACAGTAACATTATAAAACAGTGCAGCAGCAACTCATAAATCATCCTACTAAATATAGACTGTTAAAATGCAGCCACAATTTAGAAAAATAAATATCATTGACTGTAACTTTCACAGTTACAATGTAAAACACCAGTGCAACAGCAACTTCAAGACCTGACAAACTGTACCATGTTTTCTAAATCTTCCATTAAACAAAGAAATCCCACAATTTCAACAATAGCCAGGGGTTGGTCGTCTAGAACAATGAACTTGACAAGTGTTTTGATTATCTTTCTTGCTTTGGGGCTGTCTGTGTCGAATTAATGTCATTTGAATGCAGTTTCCAAAATTTGCTGCTACACTGGCTAACACTACACAGCAGAAATCACTTCTACTCAGCCATTCGAAAAATGGGTCTTCCATAAGCAGTGCAGCGCAACGGCTGTTTCGTAGCAGAAAAGAAAATTACATATTTAGATAGATAGATGTTCTTTATTGATACCAAATGGAGAAATGATTGTGTTACAGCAGCATGTCAAAGGCACTGCACATAGAGCGAAGAACAAGAGACAAAATACAAAAGATGACAAAATAAGAGACAAGCATGCAAAATAGCAGTAGTTGATTGCAAAGTTAAAGGTAGGAACATGACTGAAATAAGTACATATGAATATAAGATGTGCAAAAAGTAGTCAGAGTTTTATTTATCAGAGTGAAACAAATCATCTTTAAAGACGTGGGATTGGATCGGTTCGTAGATTTGTGTGCCCTGCCTTTTCAGCTGCATATTTCTGTGGCTGGTATCAGTATTGGAACATCTTTACTACAAATGATTAATGTCTATGATTTTATTTTGTTTTCTGGCCATACATAAATTGACAGTCATCATTGGAAAAAATCTGTCTCTATACAGTGTTATCAGTTTTATGTTTTTATGCCAACGTTGCCTTCAGTTACTCATAGAGAAGCCATTCATAGTGAATGCTCTCACTTCATATATGAACTAAACAATTGTTAGAATGGCTGTTTGTTTGCCCTACATGTGGGGATTAAATTACATTTTATGTTCATAAAGTAAATCTATTTATTCTTCATTAACCACATGCAGTAAATTCTAGTGCAAGACTGCTGCCATGTGGACCAAGACATGCATTACAACTGCTTCTTGACAACTTGGTTCAGTTTTTAAATCATTATTTTATAGCATTATTAAAACATTTTAAAATTTCACATCAGTTTATTCCCAGGAATCATGTATTTATGTCTGGTTACATCATGACATTATGGCTATTTTTCCTCTCTCTCTTGTAAGAGCCCAGTCACATGAAAACATCTGCCACTGCCCCGTTTTGATTTTCTCTCCCTGTGTAGGATAAACTCACACCTGGACAACACAGAGCCAGAAGAAGATGGTGAACAGACAAAGAAAGGACGTGAACGAGGGAAGAAGGACATGGACAGCGATGATGATGATTTTGATGATGACTTTGGTGACCTTGACGATAAGGATGATGAAGATTTTGACAGTGACTCAAGTCGAAAGAAAACACAGAACGTGTCTGCTGCGCTGCCAGATGTTTCCAGAGTCAGCTTTAAAGAATAAAAACTAGGAGGGTTCCACATGGACTTTTTAACACCAAAATAGTTTTGTAATTATAGGACAGTCTGAAGTTTGGGACAACACTCAAATTAACTGATGCAAGTAAACTACTTTTGCTATTTTTAAATTGAGTACCATCGTCTGTGTTCGTTTAGCTTTGGATTTCTGGTTATAAGTGCAAATGAAAAGTTGGTTAAATATTCATTTTGGATACCAACAGCATCCAATAAGTAGCCAGCTCAGCTAAAAGGGCAGCTTGCCGTGATTGATAAGAAGTGATACCACTGCCTTCTCGTTAACCAGCACTGGCTAATTGTTAGTCAGATCAATCTCTGGCTCTGGAGAGGATACCCTCATCCGATCTCTGTCGTCTTCAATCTCTCCTTTATTCTGCACAATATTATAGTAGTGATGAGTTTCCAGGTTTGGGTCGGTCCGCCTTTATCAGAGCCCATACACCTAGAAGAAGAAAGGAGCAAATGTCAAGAAATAAAATAAATCAATTAACAAGCTATGTTTGTTTATATTTGAGCTGTGTGTTTTTGTCACACACCATGGCTCCAATTCTTGCTTTCCCATGTTCAACACCATCAATTATCTGTCAAACACGACAACAGGATGGTAATTAACCGTGTCACTCATTCACTCGGTGCGGTGACATTTTCTCTCACAGGATTAAATGACAAACTCTTGCTCCACCAAGTAAATTCTCGTCCTCTTCTACCTCTTTTTCACTTGTTCCTTTTAACCTCAGTACTTGCGCATTGAGTCTTACTGTGACAGGATTAGAATAGGAGGAGATCGCCTTTAAATTATAAGTCGAGTATTTTATATTGTCTTTTAACACAGAAAGAACGTAATTTCTGGCATGGGGACTTCTATATTGCTGATTTACTTTTTTATGACTTGCCTCGTTGGATCAGATAAAACTCTGTAGCAAGCTGCATGACGGCCAGATGTTGCCCAACCATGATCCATTTATACTTGTGAGGATGCACTTAATAGACACAAGAAAAAAAACATACATTTTGTGGCTAGGTAACAGCAGCTCAAAGTGTTTTATTGTGTTTCCCCTCTACGATACAATTAGCTAAATAGAACAAAAAATATTCAGTTGACTTCCCTCACAGTAACTATTACTTCTTATGTGTGAGAGGTAATCTTTAATCAAACTTTTATGGGTGGAAAATAACTTTTTATGTGGATAACTTATTCATGTTAACTTAGAACTCAGCCACTTTCACACTTCCTCCCTCTGTCACAGCATGGATAACCTGTAGTCACACAGAAACTCTTCCTGGCATGCGAGCTGCATGGTGTCATCTCAAAATAGTGGTTTTGTCATTTGTCATGTGAAGTTGACGGATTTGAGAAGATATGATTTTCGAAATACTAGTTCCTCTTTGGAACATTTGTAACAAGAACCACAGTGGGTACTGTTTGCTATATTAAGATGGTGCCACTGAATTGTATTGCAGTATACTGGTGTTTGTAATATAGTGCATACATTAAACAATGGATCTTTTGAAAATTGAAAAAGACATAACAGATACACAGCTCACCAGGACTTCAAGATTATTATTATTATAAGTAAAAACTCTCTGTGTCACTTTGGACTACAGAATAATATTGCCAAAGAAAGGTAATTTTTAACAAGGCGGGATGCTGAGACATTGATTCAAGCTTTATACCAGCTACCAAAAATATTAAACTTCAGGAAAACTTCAACTAATTAAGAACTCAGCTGCTCAATATTTAACAAAGTAAAAGCCAGCACATCACTGCTGTTTTTCTCACCCTTTACTGACAGCTCATTTCTTTTCCAATTGATTTTAAGATCTATTTAATCAAGTACAAAACTTTTTATGATAATGCTATTTCTTCTTGTTACATTTACAAACATTGTAATTGTTATAATTGTTTTTCACCCAACAAGAGCCTGCAGGTCCTCTGATGTTGATATTCTGGGTGTTCCTGAAGAGGCTTATACTATGAATTAGGACATTAGTTAGCCACTGTGGAACACCATGTCCTGTTACATTAGACTTGCAAGCTCTGTCAACATTAATTGAAAACCTACTGATGGAATACTTATTTAAGCAGGCTCTTAATTCTTTTAGTTTTTGCTTCTATATTTACAATTCATATTTTTTGTCTCTATTTGGATCTTTTATCTTATTTTATCAACCCCT